GTGAGTTTCTTTGGCATCTGGGAATGAGACATGTTGATTGTGGCCTGTGCTTGTATCTAAGTATCCTTCACACTAATCCAGGAGAGGCAAAGAAGGATAAGTAAATCCTCTTCTGAATGTTTTTACCATAAGAAAAACTATTATTTGTCTTTCCCGTAGACAAGACAAGAACATGGATCCTTCAGCTGCCTATGATTTGCTGGTGGACGGTGTCCAGGACTGGGATCTTATTGGTGACTCTGTTCCTTGTGAGCTGCTGCTCATTGGCGAGACTGCCTTCCCAGTGCTGGTGAACCCCCAGGGGCAGGTCCTGATCGCCGCCTCACAGTATGGGAAGGGCCGGATGGTGGTCGTCTCTCATGAGAGCTACCTGGGGAGCCCCAAGATGGCTCGGTTCCTACGCAATGCTGTGGATTGGCTCAGTCCCTCCCCAGGAGCAGTGGTTGGTGTCCAGAAGAGCTTGAGTTCCCTGCTGAGTATTCTCAGTAGTTCTGGCACCCGAGTGCAGCCCAGTGAGGAGTTCATTGCCTCATTTGGGGTTTACTGTATGGATGCCTATGATGCTGCACAGGGGAGGGAGCTGATCCAGTTTGTGAAGAGAGGAGGGGGTCTGCTCATTGGAGGTCAGGCTTGGCACTGGGCCTCTGGACACAGCACAGAGAGAGTGCTGTTCGATTTCCCTGGGAATCATGTAACCAGCGTGGCAGGAGTTCATTTCACGGATATATATGGTGAGACGGGGACCTTCAGCATCTCAGACAAAGTGCCTGCAATTCCCTTGATCGCTCCGTGAGTATATGAAATCCTTTCCTATGTATTAAAACTTGTAGTTAAAGCAGTAAGAAAATTACTCCTGGGGGAATTCTATGCCACTGCACATGCACAGATTTTATGTTCCCTGCAGATTTCTTTGCTTCCCTACAAAAAAATGACTCTCTGATGGGGAAGCAAAGGGAAGCCACCTGAGTGGTCATGAGACCCTCCCCAGAAGTATGTTTTGGGAGCCCAGGGCAGCTAACAGAGAGGTAAATCACTGTGGCGCTGGGGGCTCCTACCCTGCACCTGACTCAGCTGCTAGTCCCAGCTGGCCTGGGAAGGACGGGACTTCCTCTTTCCTTGCACAGCATCCAGGATTGTGTCAGATCCACCCCCAGGTTTCTCCCCTGGCTGTTGGAAGCTCTGCAAACACTCCCCCCACTCCCGTGTTTCCTGTATCAATTGCTTCTCAGCTGCAGGGGGAGGAAGACCTGTACAGGGAGCTACTCCCCCATCCACCCAACCCCTATTCATCCAAAGCCCCTCATACCCAGATCTTCCTGCCAAGCCTCACCCGCCTGCACCCAGAACCCTCCCAATGAGCCCCACTCCCCCTGCATCTGGACCACCCCGATGAGCCACCTGCACGTGGATCCCCACCCTACCAAGCCCCCACCAGCTGCGTCTGGATCCTCCCCCCCGACTCAGCCCCACTTCCCCCAGCATCTAGACACCCCACCACCACTGAGATGTCCACACCAAGATCTCCCCTGCCAATTTCTATCCCTCACACATCCAGACCCGCACACTGAGCCCCAATAACCTTCACCTGGACCCCCACAGAGTCCCATTACCATTGCACCCAAACCCCCCTCCCCCCAAAACCCCTGTGCATCCAGCTCCCCCAGCACTTGGATCCCCCCTGGGCCTCCCACACCCAGATAGCCCCACACAGAACTCTCTCAACCCACACCTGGATCCCCCCACACTAAGCTCTTCCACACTTGGATCCTACCTTGCTGAGCCTGCCTCCCCACACCTGGTGCACCTGGCATGGAGAGGCAGGACCCTGGGGTGTTTCTGTGGCAGACCCTATCCTTGCGCTGTGTCAGGGTTGGGGGCAGCCTCATCGCTGAGTGTGTGTGCCGGGGAGAGCTGCATAGTGATCTCCCACCTCTGTGCAGCCTCTGGCCTGTGCTCCCCAATACCATGTTGGAACCTCAACATTTATTTGACAAATAAAATTTGCAGAATTTTTAACGTTTTGGCACATAATGTCCTCGGGTATAGAATATATTCTTAAATGCTGCAATGTTGGAAAGGGTATTATTTTCCAGCACCTCAGGGGGTATGTGGATCCTTATCCCTGGAGGAGGAAAAAAGAATTAACAGGAAAGAAATAAAACCAGAATCCTGCTAAAGTTTGAGGAAATGTTTGACTTCTGGGCAGGGCTGGCTCTAGGTTTTTTGCTGCCCCAAGCAAAAAAATTTTTGGCTGGCCCCCACCACAGCCCTGGGCTCTCCCCCTCTCCCTCCCAACTGCACTCTCCTGCCGCCCCAGCCCTGGGTCACTGGTAACTTGCTCCCAGGGCGGGTCATTCAGCAGGAATTTTGAACGTGCACAGAACACAGACAGGATTGGTTCCCACATGGTTACAGAAC